GCCTATCCCAGCTGTCATTGGGTGGAAGGCAGGATACAGGTCACGGGTCACCAGTCCATCGCAGGGCAGACAGACAGACGTACATACATATACAATCACACACTCACTCACACCTAGGGGCAATTCAGGATGTTCAATTAGCCTGACTGCATGTCTTTGGACTGTGGGAGGAAACCGCTCCACCCACTTCGCCACCGTGCTGCCCTGTGCGAAAATTCTCAACAGAAAACTCTCCTGAATGCTTGTTTAATTTGCTGCACTGAGAAATCAAATCTATTGGAACAGGATGCATTTTGTGCAGGCAATGCTGTAAAACATTTTTCATGGGTTTTTACATAATTTTACAGGTTTTCCATCACCAACATCCTTGTTTCAGACAGAATTAGACTGACAGGTATTTTGACAGGTCATTTCTTATGGATGTAGCTGATCTTTATCTGCAGTACACTGTTAGAAATGAAGGTTCTGTTCAGGTACGTTTCTCGTTCATTAAGGTACAAACAGTGTAAATGTTCCCTCAAAGCTCCAACAGTGGTTTTAAGGTCTGATTGTGAACCTTAAATAAGTTTCTCCAGGTGAAAAGTTTGTATTTGTATCTTTTCATAACCGAATGATTTAAAACAGAACAGTAAAATAAAAGCCTGGAGGCGAGACGGGGTGTGTGGAGTCAGTACAGCTTAGAACATATCATTTCAGTGGATTATGGTTCAGTTATGTTCTCTGACTAAAGGTACTGAGATGGACCTTTGAGGGAACCAGTGACAGTTTACTACGTATATTTCTGAGAGTGTATAGTGACCAAGTGAGACGCAGTAGATCAAGTTGCTCCTGACACACAGTTCTTGTGCTGACGTTGGTTCCATGGGCAGGTTTGGAACTCTGTATTGGGTGATTCAGCAGAGGACAGGCGATTTTCATGTGCTGCTCTGTGAGTTTGTGTGGTCTGTCGCTTTGTGGCTGAGGTGTTGTTGCTCATAGACACTTACATTTCACAACAATGGCCATTACAGTTGACAGAGGCAGATTAAGCAAAACAGAATTCTCACAGTTTGACTTGTGGCAGAGGTGGCATCCTAACAGTGTCACGTACAAAGTCACTGAGCTCATCAGTGCGACCCTCTACTGCCAGTGTTTGTCTATGGAGACTGCAAGGCTGTGTGCTTAATTTTATACACCTGTTGGTAATGAGTGTGGCTGAAACACCTGAACTCAGTCATTAGGAGGAGTGTCCATGTATTTTTGGCCATAATGACTCACTCTTTCCCTTTAATCCAGCTTCCATTCTTTTCAGGAGACTCACTTTCAGTTCCTCAAAGAATCTGCAGACACTCCTCCAAACTTCAGTCTTAGAAGCTGGTTGATAATTTTCTGTAGTAAACACATTCAGTGATGTTGAGGTCTGGACTCTGGGGTGGTCAGTCCATTGTTCAGCTTCTTTGTTTGATGTGTTCGTCTCCTTTTCTCAGTGAGGTTCTTCTTGAACAGCTACACATCCTTTCAGACCCACAGCGCTGAGTCGTCTTCTCACAGTGGAAGGATGGACAGAAACACCTGTGGATGTTTTCAGATCTGAAACGAGTGGAGCTTAAAAGTTTATTTAGGAAACTTTGACCTTGTTTCTTGATGAGGAGCACGGCACTGAAATGTAGCATAAAGACATGCTAATGATGCTAATGTATTTGTGTTCTGTAGGGGAAAGTGGGTACAACATAACACATTTTGTTAAATCATTTTTTAGCAAAAATATTTGATTTTTTTGATACTGCACATAAATTTGTTTCCAGCTCCCATCGTTTGTGAACAATTCAGCTGAAAGTGGAATGAGCTGTAACACTCGCTAAAAATTCTGGTAAAATTAAACAAACACCAGTTAATTAAATAAAATTCTATGTTATTTGAACTAGATGAGCTTTCCAACCTAAAAACACAAAAATATCTGCATCAAAATGAATGAGCAATGAGCCTCATTCACCAACCGTTCTTAGGAAGAAGTTTCTTCTTAAAACCCATTTACGTGGTTTCATGAAGATTCTGACTCACCAGTGTTCTCTTATTTGGGATTCGTTCTTAGGTAAGAACAGAATCTACACACAGTCAAGAGCACAAAGGTGAGACCAGTTCTGCACTTTAAGAACACGTCATGAATCTGACGGAGACTTTTTCTTGGAACCTTCCTCAAGAACACATTTAAGAAAACACGTATGAAGATATTGGTGAATGAGGCCCAAATGTGACACGTTTAGTTTTGACTACAAAGTAGAAAAGCTAACATCAACAACATTTTATTTACGTGGCATCTGTAGTACGTTTTGGATGAATATGTGCATAAAATCATCCAAAAATGAATTTTGTTTGTAATATGGAGAGATATGGCGTTCTCTGATTGTTGACTTCAGGGGTCTTAGTCGTAACAGCATGTTAAACTAACCCCCCCGTGTGGAGGCTGTACTTTAGCCTGGTTAGCTCTCACACTGAGCTGTTTACTCTGCTTCAGAACGGTGCTTATATTACAACAACAAGAGGAGATTAAAATAATATAGGAGTGAAATCTGTGATTTGAACTCACAACTAAGTAATGACAGATTTCAGGGTGAATCTGGAGAAATCTTTGCGTGATTCCTATTAGGATTAACAGATGACGTTGCTATAGGAACACAAGATGATGACCAAGAGCACATATTACTGGAACCTGTTTAAATGCAGAAGTCCATGTTACGTGTGCCCTGTGATTGTGTCCTGCACTCACCTACTGTATTCTGTATTAGTGTCACTGTTCTAAAAGAAATGATCGTGCTCATCACTTGCTTTTGACACTAGTTGAGAAGATTTGTGTGATTTGCAGCAGCAGAATGAACTTTTTTTCCCATCAGAAGAGAGAATGAATCACTGTGAATGAGTTTGACGTTGTTTTGAGGATCTCTGTTTAAGGAAATCGCCCTTATAGTTCTGAGTGAAGAATCAGTTTTCACTTCTCACAAATGAAAATATCTTTCAGTTCAGCTCAGCATCATGCGAGACCCACCAGCTCTGAAACCGATTACCCTGAACTGAAAGTGATAAAAACGCCCTATTCTGCATTCTATTTGTCCCTCTATTCTTTTTTTAGTTATTTGCTGAGTCATTGCTTGTGCTGTCTCCTAACCATGAATATGAATTTAAAACTTCAGTAAGGACTGAATTTAGTTCAGTAGCTATTCCAGAATAACAGCTCCTAACTTCATAAACTCATCATGAACTCCAGATAAGAAAACAGCATCACACAAACATCCTAACTAGACTAAACCTCCTAAATCCTGTCCTAACTTTAGGATGAACCCCAACAGGGTCCTCACTTCTGTTTAAGGTCTGTTTCTATGGTTTTTAGGCAGCTGTGTCAGCAGCATAGTTCACTACCAGCACAATGAGCTCCGTTTATTTCTACTGTAAAACGCTGCTTTCACTGTGAGATGATTTTCTTTTCTAACTCTGCGTTTTAAAGATCTCAGACGCTGCAGACTCGATCTCCACCGCCCCTCTGATCACCTTCGTGTGTTAATGTTGATGATGAAATATTACAGTGATGGTGGTGAATAATGAGGAGACGGAGCTGAACGTGTGTCTGTTTATTAGGAGGAGTAACGTTAGCACGCTTGGCTAAAGCGCTTGGGAAATAGAGACTGAAACTGGGGAGCGGCGACGCTCTGATAAACAGCAGGGGGCGCTCTCACAGCATTCACCACTTACAGTTTATCGCACTTTAGTTCTGTTTGACCTTTTTCACATCTGTAACAGCAGCTAGCTGACTAATTAACTTGATTATATTGTTTATGTTACAGCTTTGTGTGTATGGTCAGTTGCTAGGTAACAGGCATGATAGTTGATTGCCAACTTCAATTAAGTAGGTTAAGATTTCCAAAATTAAGATGCTGTAAGAAAAGACTCCTAAATTGTCAGATTTGCTTCTGTAATACAAATTATTAAAAATTCTTACCTTGACCTGTCAGATCTCCACATAGGCAACAGAAAAATGTTAACGTACGTTTAGTTTGATGCAGTGAGAAGTCAAATCTAGGGGAACAGTAAGCATTTTGTATAGAAAAGTGCTGTTTATCTGATGGGGGCAGTTTTGGTGTCTACCAGGTCTTCCAGGTGGTTGTTAGGAGAACCATTTTCTCTGTAGCTTTTAATAGTTTTTTTGAACTCCAGTTTTGGGAACTTTTTCCCCCCACTTATTTTCTTTTACAAACTTTATGGTATTTTTTCTGCAAATTGTAGTTTCTGTTCTAGTTATTTAAAATATTGGCCAAAAGAAAAAAAACACAAAATGTACCAGAACATTTGCAAACTTTATGCCTCCTCCCATGTGTTAAATTCAGCAAACAAGCAGTAACTGTGCATTAAAATGTGCAGAAGTGTGTCTAAGTAGAGGACGTGTTCACTTACTTACACTTAAGATGCCACATATGGTTTTTTTGAGCGATGCTATAGAGGAACCACAAATATTTTTAGAACCTCAACGTAAGATAAAGATTCTAGGTGTTTTACTAACCCATCTCATTTACAAAAATGGTTCTTTAAAGGACCATCCATTGAAAGTTCCTCAAGGGTAGTGGTCCTCAAACCAGTCCTCAAAGACCCACAGATTGTCCACAGTTTTGCTCCAACTGACCTCAACACCTGGACAGAGCAACAATATGGGCCACCTGGGGGTTCCTCAGTCAGAACTCAGGCAGGACTGCTTTGAGAACCAAAAGTGGTTCTTCTCTGGCAGGCATGTCAAACTAGGGACCTTCTGGGCCAAAGTGCTGCGGAGATCGGCGTTTACCGTCATCCAACACTCTGAAGGCACTGCTAATGAGCTGATAAGCTGAATTAGGCGTGTTTAATGAGGCAGTGTGCTGAAGTCTGCAGGGATTTGGTCTGCAAGGACTGGAGCCTGACGTTCTATGGCGCTCTGCTAAAAACCATTTGTGGGACCTTTATTGTTGTAGAAATCAGTATGGAAGCAGTCAACACGATCATGAACACACACAAAACATGAGTCTTTATTAAAGATTATTCTTATCATCCAGGGAACTGATACAAGAGGAACATTATTTTTGTGCGTTTGACTGTGTAACAAGTGTTAGAGCAGTACAGAACCGTGTCTTGTGCTGGACGTTGTGTGATGATCGGCTGTTCGCCGTGTGTGTGTGTGTGTGTGTGTGTGAGGGGACGACCACACCGAGGTGTGTGAAACACTGTGGCTCACTGGCAGTGAAACATCTGGGCAGTATTTATAGTCCAGTACTCGCTCACATCAGCATTACCTTACACGCAAACGCAAAAACACGAAGAGGTTTCCGAGAAAGCTTACGGGAGGCCAGTGGGATCTCAGAGCGAGTGGATGCCGCTCATCGACACCATCGCTCAACTTCTGTGCAAGTTGTGTGCATAGTTGAAGTGAAATGAGGAAGCGAGACTTTGGCAGCAGTAGGCCGCAATCAAGCATGTCGAAAGGTTGCGGCTCGCGGTGCTGCCTCCAGGATCCCACTGAGCGCAGTCAGTGAGGATAGCAGAGAGGCAGAGGTATCGCAAAAAAGGTACAGTGATGACACGCTGACACTGATCTACAGTGGAAAACTGGATTGGAGCCCCACTTTTGAGTTGACATTCAGTCAAATTGTAATTTATGCCTGTAAGACTGCAATACACTAGCCGACAGCTAGGCATTCGGGTTGATACTTGCTTTTTTCACTGTTTCCATCAAACATTTCTGCATAATTCATTGATTAAAATGTAAACAAAATCATTCGGAGTGAAGAAACCAAGAGAAACTGAGGCAGAGTGGTGGTGATAGGAACCAGACGTCTACCTCTAAAGGCTGCCTCAGAAATGATTATGGATACGATGCATGATGCCAGAGACATCATTTTATGATCATTTCAAGAAATCTTTAGCCTAAAATGGGTTTTTTAAACACTGTCATGGTGAAGATGGACATGCAACAACAAAACCTCAGATCTTTGCATTCTTGTCCTGAATTAAGCTAATGTAATACGAGTTTATTCTAAGTAATTCTGGCCAATTTCTTTCTGTCATTTCTGTCATTCAGCTGTCATTTCAATTTGTTTAAACAAACAAACAAACAAACAAGAAAAAGCGACAAAAAGTGCAGATACAAGCTTCAGTTTGACAGCGACAAAGGCAAAATAGTCCACAAAGAAAAGTTATTTTTCCCTGTTTTACCATCAACAACGTTACATATAAAACCTCAGAAGACGTGTAGGTTCACTGGTTGTTTTAGATCAATGGTCTTCAACGCTCCTCCTTGAAAGCTACAAGTCCTGCAGAGTTTCGTTCCAACCACATTCTGCTGCACCTGCTCCAGTTAATGAACTTCTGTAGACCTTCCTGATTGACTGGATCAGACTGATCAGTGTTAGATTAGGGCAGGGACAGCGTATTATATGTAGGCTGGAACTAGACTCTGCAGGACAGTCGCTCCAGGAGGAGGACTGGAGACCCCTGTTTCATTAAATAAAACCGCCATATTCGCATTGTTGACATCCCTGGTTCCTATCACCACCACTGTAAAGAAATGAGAGTCTCTACAATCAATGATTTCACATCAGATCACTCTGAATGAGTCTGTTCGCATCTAAGCTGTTGAATTAGGCAGATATTTTGGAAAGAAATCAGAGTAACTCCCTATAAGACAAGGTGTTTCTGCAGATGAATAACACCCACAGCACTGTGAATTATTTTCTACTCAAATTTGCCCAAGCAAAGAGGTTGGAGCTCAAGATGCAGATCTACGCTGATGCTCGTCAGCGTTCAAGAATTCTGTAGGTTTCCAGCTTATTCAGCCCATTTAGATCTAACACCACAAATAAACATCGACCGATTTCAATCCAAGTTTCCAGCGTAGGTCGGTGTTGTGCAGAGGCAGTACTGTTGGGGAGCTACAGGTAAAGTGATTGTCTCACGGAGGCAGTGGTGTTGTTGTTGGTGGTGGTGATTGTTCAAAAGGACCGAGGCAGTGGCGTTGTAGGGTTTATGAGGCAGTGGGATAATGGGGGGCAGAGAATGGGGTCTCTCTGCTAACAGGGTGTCCAGTTTGATTGCACCGTAAAATGCATGAAACAGTGACACTTCATGCTGTAGTTGAACTGTAATTTTGAATGAATGGTCATTTTATTCCTTACCTGTCAAATGTAAATGCCTGTTTACGCCAATTTGACTGCTAACGTTGTCATCAGTGCTCGAATATCGTTTTTGTATCTTTGTTTTACTTCAGCTGAAGTGAAACCAGAATTTGCATTGACTGTCCATTAATGCTGATCAATCGGAAATAAGAGGTCAGTCTGTGGTCAGGTTGTGATCAAATATATCTCATGCACATTCAGAACCTTGTGACCTGACCGTAACGAAAACCACTAATAAAGCTAGTTATTTTTGCTGAACAAGATTTGAACACTTCACCCTCCGTATGTGTGTTTGTTTTGTTTGTTTTAAAAACTGGCTTTGTTCAGTGAGTGTGAGTGCACAACATGTGAACGGTGCGATTTGTTTTAACCTTAGTAAAAACATCTCTGAATCATCCACAACAATCTTCCGCAGTGAAGAGAACAGCGGGCAGAACACAACTATACTCTTGGAACAAATAAGAGTAAAGGTAAGATTTTTTTTCCTGCATCATTCCACCTAAGACAAAATTTCAAATTCTCTTTTTTTTCTGTCAATATAGATATTCTTATATTCATATATCTTTCGTAAGAAAAGAGGGGAAAAAAGTTGCAAAGTTCAAAATGTCCCTGAAGACTTCTGGACGATGGCCGTCCTTTTGTCTTTAGTTAGCTATCTCCTCATAGTTCCTTAGATCTACAGCTGAGGGAATCTGGAACGTAATGTCATCGTACAATACACGTGGATGTAGAAACGTTTCCTGTCCCTCCAATGCCGAAGGGTCCGAAAGAGTCAGACGCGTCCGTAGAACCGACACAACCGTGGCTATTTAATGCAATGGGAGCAAGGGAGCGAGGACAGAGTGGAGAGACCGGTTCCACAAAGTGTAGGCCTGATCCTTCCCAAAGAAGAGTGTTGTCAGCCTCTGTCTGCTCCGATTAATTCCATTCTGGTCCTAGATCAGAATCGGCAAAGTTTCGCTAAAGCACCAACTCAATTAAGCCATAATGTGGGTCCTGGATCTGGATGACACTCAGCCTTTATATCCCCCCAGCCAAAGCAAGCCAGGTCACTGTCCATTTTCGCCGGTCTCCAAAGTCCGCCTGACTTGTGACTGGAAGCCTGTTCCTTAGTCCTGGTGCAGCCTGTGTGGAGCCCGTTTTTGGGGCTAGTCTCAGGGCGAATGTGCCGACGGGCTGCTCCGCACTGAGCTGGGCGACAGGCTGGGGCTGCAGCTGCCTGGGGGAGCGCCTCCTCCTGCCCGAGCCCCGCTGCTGCCCTGACCATCCAAACCCTCTGAGTTCTCAAGCATCTCCTGGATGAGTGGAGGCATGGAGCCGGGGATTTCCATCTTCAGGGTGATCACTCGCTCCGCACCTGAGGAACACGAGAGAGAGAGAGAGGTGAGAGAAGTTATATTTTGTCATTATGGCTTCTATTGTTTCATTTAATAAGTGCTCTATAATGTTCATATGATCCACACAGTCATTCTGACAGACTGTAATACACTACAGGAAGTGTAGGGGGCGATATGGCTTCTACTGTTTTAGTTAAAAAGCCTCTATAATGTTCATATGATCCACACAGTCACTCTGACAGACTGTAATACACTACAGGAAGTGTAGGGGGCGATCAATGTAGATCAATGTTAGGTGCATGTCAACTGTTTTATTGTAATCTTTGGTTATTTCTGTATCATTCACCTTTAGCGCTGATGCTCCTCAGGTCTGTGATCTTCATCAGCATTTTGGGGAACATGTGTGGTTTATGTGGCCTCCTCTTCCTCACATAGATTTTCAATGCTTCGAGCAACGGTTCCTGCAGGATGTCCACCTTATCTGACTCCTCCAGATCCTGCCGATCTGCGGACACACAAATGTACACTCAGTTTGCACACTTTCATACAAGTCGAAACAATATGATCAGACAGATTCTAGTTCCTGAATTCCTCTCCAGTGCATTTTCTTTTCTGCTCAACCAATCAGCATTTGCTTGTTTTGCACAATACGTAGTAGAGGTTTTGTAATGTTGGAAAAATGAATGACTGGTGATAAGAACCAGGGGTCACCATGACAACATAAATATAAACATTTTATCTGAAACCACCAGTGAACCTACATGTGTCTGCTGAGTTTGAAGTCATGAAATGGTGATGAAATAGTGGAAAATCTGAAATAATATATTTTCTTCAGGGACTGTTTTGCTTATACTGCCCTTCATGTATCTCTCTGCCAAGAATGCATTTTAAGGATGTGTCAAAACTATTATAAAACAGTGTCTCAGACATCAGGCAGTGAATTCATAACCATTTCATGTAGTAACTTTCTGTGAGGGAGCTTTTAGAGGTGGACGTCTGGTTCCTATCACCACCACTGTGAACAGTTCTGACACTGCAAGTTTCTCTAGAACAGAGCGTTTCACACCAAACCACTCTGAACGACTCTGTTTACATCTTAACCATTTAAATGTCCAGAAATTTTAAGGTCCCCTTTAAGCACTCCTAGATAAAGCCTGTAGTACCTCCACACAGCAGACAGATGGCGCTGAGCAGGCCCGTCTCAGCATCGTCCATCTCCAGCGGGAGCAGCTGGTTGGCGAAGGCAAACACCAGGTCGGTGAGCGGGCCGAAGCCGGCGTTATGCATCTGCGTCCGGTTCAGCGTCAGACCATCCGAAAAGGTCATGGTGTCCTGATCGGGGGTGTAGCGCGTGCAGATCCGCAGAATCTGAGAGGGGAACAATGAGAGAGAGGAGAAAAGAGAGAAAGAACAAAAGAAATGAAATGCACAGTACAGTGAATGTTACATCAGTGATGAAGCACACTGAGGGTCAACGTTTAATGATGTAATTCACCATAACACCCAATGATGAATCATACAATCAATAATATTCGATAACCAAATTTTAAAGGACACATATGAATTTATTTTTACTCACATTTTTAAAATAAGCGTTAGATAAATGTATGAGACACAGCACAAATATCGATCCTAAAGGGCCCATATCCTACATCTGTTTTCCTTTTTTTCCCCACTAAGGTCCATATAAAACGTGTGGTTTATGTACCAAAAGGTCATAATTCAGTTTGTATGACCACTTCAGAACTTCTCTTTTTCCCTTGAAATTAAACAGCTTTTGCTGTTGTACTAAGCATTAAGACTGATATGTGTAAATGTCCTCTGTTATTGTTGGCCGTGCTGTACTGTGTCTTATTCAAATACCGACACTCCTCTGAACACCCCTTATAGCTTCAGTGAGAGTGGGTGGAGTTAAACTGCTGTAGGTTGAATTGGTTTCGTGACACCACAGAAACTGCAAATTCACAATGGGCTGTTTTTGCACTTTCCGTGATACAGAGTTTCATGGACAGAGTGGACAGTACATTTTGAAACAATCTTCATGTACATCAAACTAATTTCAAAACGCAATTTTATATCCGTGTAAACGCCTGTATCTGATTACATTCCCTATCGGAAAGTTTAAGTCCGTTCTGATCATGTTCGTCACGTCATAGTGAAAGTTTATACCGTTCAACATGGCGGAGCAGAAACTGGTCTGCAGAGGAGACGAAGTTTCTGCTCTGATCTTTAAAAGACGGCGGTGGGACGGACGTCCAGCTTATGTGTCTCAGAACACGACGTCTTCCTCTCGGCCTTCTTTAATAAGGACATGTGAAGGACGTTTTCCTGAGTCTGACATCATTTTAAAGTCATAAAAAACACAAGCACTGCTCACTGATGCTCATCTCACTCTGACTGGACTCACATGATGTTGGTTGTCATGGTAACGTCTACACTAAGTGGTTCTCTACGCATGCGCATGTTGGATCTGATTACTTGTATTGTGAATGTAAACATAGATTTTCCTTCAGATTTTTGAGTAGAGTGAGAATAAACACCTCAGTCTTAATCTATAATCGGAATATGTTCAAATGGATTGGAGAAAATCTTTGCATGTAAACACAGCCAGTAAAGGACATTCTTATACTGACCCATCTCTGGTTCATGCATTGATATGAGAATATGTGGGCCCTGAACGTGTGCATTTCTGTGGCTTTTTGAGTGTGTTTGAGCTGCACTCACCAGTATATCGAGGCAGGCGGCCTTCAGCAGAGTGATCTGGTCTGCGATGGTGAGGGTGGTGAAGCCCGGGAGCTGTTTTGCAAACTCCACCGTCTTTATGATGCACTTAGTGGAGAGTTCACTGAACTTGTCCCAGAGGTCAACATCCAGGGAGACCCTGTGGTCTGCACTGTTGTTCTACAGGACAGAAAGAGAAAGACTTGTTTACTTATTATTAAATTTCATATGCAATATTTAATATGCATGTTTGCATAATTGGCCCAAATCAAACAAAATGTAAACACAGTTTGTGGGCCATCATTTAGCTTGGTGTAGAGTCTCTTCAGCCCATCAGAATTACTGGTGTTAAACCTCTCAGGTAAGTCCACCATGAAAAAGCATGAACAGGTACCACTTTTAGCCCAATTTCACCTTCAACTTTCTCTCAATTTTTACAACTGGAAGTGACTTTCCACGTTGGAAGCTTGACCCAAAAGTGATTATCCGGTGATCTGCGAGGGGGAATGTGTCCATCTTTAGCCTTTCAATTAAGCTCTGGAGTGATCAAAGGCCCCCAGCTATTTTCAGCTATGTGTGATTTTTAAGAAAGAAAACATTCACAAGTTCTGTAGTGTGATGTAGTGTCAACCAATCAAGCAATCAAGGCAACAGCCGATGAGCAAAGCTTAAATATATTATATATATATTTATACACAAATATACATATATATATATATATACACACACACACACACAAGAGGTGTTTTTATACAACAGCACCACTAGATGGCATAGTAGACCACTGCTGATGTGGCCCGACACCAAGGTTATCATTTCCACTGTGTTACATTTTTCAGGGTTTACCTCTTCATATTTGACAGAGACCCCAACAGTTCGCTCAAATGTGTTGTTCATCACCGTTTCCATTAGAATGGATGAGAACTGTAAAGTGATGCTGGTGTATTAGTAATGTGACATTTATTTGTCCCAGTTTCTCAACCAATCTCAACCTTTTAGGTGAGTCACCTAAGTAAAAGGCAGTGTGATGATGTTTAGTGGAGGGCACATTTATCACGTACTGTGATGTCATGTAATTTATTATTACAGGCATCCTGTGGCCTGCACGTCCCCTCCATCAGGCCCCTATCTAAAAAAGGACATCCCTGCTGTAGACACTCCTTTTAGAAAGCACACTACTGCTCTAGTGCCCTCTGTTTGCATGACTTACTCACCGTGGTATATTTGCCCAGTTGGCATAGCGATGGAAATGTGTCCTGGTGGGCTTTCCTCACACGTTCAATCATCTGCTCCGTATCGGGACTCATAACGTAGCTTTCGGAACACTCCACCTTCTTTTCCTCCTTCTTCTTCTTGTTCCGGTCGTTCCGAACAGCTGCATGGAGGAGAAGAACTGTTAGCAACATGCACCACCACCCAGTGAGGCTGCTATGGGCATCAGAACTCGTTCTTCAACTGAAAGCCTCAGTTACTGATGGCAGCAGGTGGGTTTTGGTTCTTTAACACCAGTTATAATTAAAAACAACACTAAAGTCAACATTAATGGGAAACAATACATATTCCTTTTGCACTGTGATGTGTTTGTGAGTGAAAGTATCAGTGAGGGTCTCTGAGCTAGCTGAGCGTTTTCTCTCCATAAGTAGTGGTGGTGGGAGAAAGAGGAGGAGGTAAAACATCATATTATTTGGTAATATTTTTCATGATGACATAAAAATCAGATGTTTTAAAGGCAAAAATTACAATGATATTTTACATGACACAATGATTTATGCTTCATATAACCAGGAACATAAACATCAAAGATGCCACAGCACAGGAAACTCCTCCTGCACAATCACAATTTACCACTAGATGGAGCTCTCATCATTGTCTGCCACTCAGAAACAAGGCATGGCTTAGTTTGTCCCATATTACTCACCACAGATCCCATAAAAACACTGAAATCTGTGCCTCTGCCCTCCGGTTCTTTAACATCCACTCAGTTCTGAACATCAGAAGAATATTATAATGATGAAGTTGTAATGAATAAATAACAGTGAATATAAAAGGAGCAGTTTTCTGAAAAAGCTTGTGCTGGAAACGAGTGAAAGTGAGGACAGAGAAGCTGGAGGTGGCTGGAATAAGCTCTCAGTTGGGAGAATCTGCTGCCGAGTAAGCAGGAAAAAATGGACAAAGGAAAGGTTCTCGAGAGGTTTTGCTGCCTCTTAGTGACACAGAAACATGAGAACACATACAAACAATGATTAGTCGAGTCAGCTCTATGGATTATAAAAACTGTCTGTGGATTTCTTTTGTTTTACTGTTGACTCCAGTGGTGCAGGCATAAATATATTTTTGGTAGGTTTGTGAAAAAGTAGGTGGGCCAACTTGTTAGACACACATTTCAAACTCTACTGTCCCACAATGTCCTTAAATCAAGCCACAGCCCATTTCTGACAGTCATTACCCGACAAAGCAGGACGTCACCTGATGAAATGTTTAAAGACTGAGACCAACTGACTAAATAAGTAGAATCAGGTGAGCTCCAGCTTGTTTGGAGTGAAAACCTGCAGCCCTTTGCAGATAAGACTGGACACCCCTGACCTATTCCAACATTTCTACCATTTACTGGTTCAATATAACAGAAAATCAGTCAGAATACTGGATTCACATAAACACAACCAACACTGCATCACCTTTCACTAAAAAACGTGTTCATGTCGCGACAGGAACAACGTCGGCTCAATGAAGGCGACATAACTGGGTACAAATCAGACATTTACAAAAGCCCTACTGGGACAGTTCTGAGTTGACAGGGGGTCCTGGGTAATTTCCTCTTTCTCAGGTGCTCCTTAACGATTTTATTTCTGTTTAGATCATCCATGCCTAAAAATGACAGCCTGAATTACCTCCTGTTCTTCTCTAACTCATCCCAATACGGATCTCTGTGATTTGGGTGTATTTTTTAGGCAGATGTTGCATCATGTTGGAAAAAATGTAAATATATATATTTTATACCTTCGCTACTCACTGTATTTAGTCTTCCAGCATGCATATTAATATTAAACATTTTCCAAACTGAGAAACGATGCACGCTTTGGGTCTCTCAACCATTTACTTGATCTGGGTGGTAGAACTTTGTCTCCTTCCTCTCTACACCAGGAAAGCATCAACAGGAGGAGAAGTCTATCAGAGAATCAAGATTGCACAGGCTGATTAAAGGGGTCATTATAATGGCAGCTATATGTATAAATTACTTTAGGTTCACATACTGTGTAGCTCTATCATTAAAGCATTTCTTAATATGCATGTCGTCATCGCTTCAAGTGTGATCATATGACCATTTGTGATGCACAGATTAATGTTTATAGAAATTACAGCCCAAAACTCCCCCGTAGTAATTTCCTTGCCTCCGGATGAGAGTTTTATCACTGAGGAAACGTGTATTTCTTTTTTTTCCATTCATAAAAAGACCCCTGATGAACTGAACCAATCTGTATAGGGCTAAATATGAGGAAAGACAACACAGCAAACTTTAAACTAAACCAGAACATCCTCTGTTACTGCCAGGGCGGCGAGCCCAACACAGTACGACAGTGATGTAACTTACAAAGACAAGGAAATACTTAAAAAGCTACATCTAATAATTCTGCATCCTTAAAAAGGTTTTTGAGTAAAGACATTTCTATATAGACCCATGAACACTCAAAGAACCATTTTCATGCTTAAAGAGTTCATTGCATGGTGAAATGGTTCTTCAGACCGATGCAAAGTGTGTTGAAAATGGTTCTATATTGCACCAAAAAAGGTTTCTGCTATTGTTACAATGTCAAGCTTAGAACCCTTTTCTATATAGAACCATATACACCATATTCTCCATCAAACTGATGAACCATTTCACCATGCAAGGAACCCTTTAGGAAGCAAATTGGCTCTGAGTGTTCATGGTTCTATATAAAACCACTCTCATTACTAAAGAACCAGCTTTAAGAGTGCAGGCTAAAGCATACTGGCTTAGGTAAACATAAGGCAGTAGACCTTTTTTCAGTGTTGCCTTCTGGCAAAATAAACAAAAATCACAACCAATAGAATTTCTGAGATGTGTGTGTCCACAGCATAAGTCCCACCCACTCATGCCCACTTTACTCTGATTGGCTACACCTCAGAAACCTAGGTTTGATCAGAGATGGTGAATGAGAGCCGCTCGGAGGAACGAGGGCCGTATCGACCACACAGCTTTACATTCAGATTCACATTCCACACTCAGTTTCCATTCTGCAGTGGAATCATTACATCCTTAATAAATGCTGAAGTCTCATACATCATACATGCTTCCAGAATCCCACAATAACAAAAACATCCTCTCCCTCTCTCTCTCTCTCTCTCTCTCTCTCTCACACACACACACACACACACACACACACACACTCAGGGCGAGGGAGGCGTGCTGGTGTGTGTAGGGCAGATGAAGTTGTTAATAACAGTGATGAACAGCCTCTGCATGCAGTCCAGACTGCTCTAATCTAATCCCCTCACATGACACATCACAGCTCCCAGGCTTCAAAGGGCTGAAAAAGGGCTTCCCTCTGCAGCTCCCTCCTTCTCTCCCTTCTCTCTTCCCTCTCTATTTCTCCTTTCTTTCTTTTTACCCCTCTCTCCCCTTTTGTCTTTCCCTCCTTTGTCCATTTCTTAGTCATCCCCTCTCTCTCACCATCTCACTCTATAGATGAGTATTCTTTTTTACCTTCTCTTCCTTTCCCTCTCCTTCCTTCTCTTTTTCTCTACTTTCCTCCACCCCCTCACCCTTTCTCTCTCATGTTCTGCAGCCATTGATATTTCCCATTTTCTTAGTTGTACTTTCTCTAGCGCTTTGCTTTTTCTGGCCCAAAATTATGTTTCACAAAGAGAAGTTAAATGGTTTTAAATCGATTTTTATTTTTCTACATCATTTCGCTTAGAATAAAACCTCTTTACATTAACGCACATTAAAAGGTAAGATGTTTTTGTCCTCTCCTGTAAAGTTACTATTTTGGAGATACTCCTTTTCCTTTAGACAGCAATGAGATAGATATATATATATATATATATATATATATATATATATATATATATATATATATATGCGCACACACACATACACCCATATACATACATTGCTCTTGTATCTCCAAAATGGTAACTTTACAGGAGAAGGAAAAAACCTACTTTACTTTTAATGTAAGTCAATGGAACCAGAATTTTTCCATGTCATTCTGGGTCGTTTCTTTTGGTCCATTCTTCATGAATTTTACACACAATGTAAAGGACAACAGACATTTTAAATTATGTCAAAAACTGACTTGTGCAGTGATGTGTGTTTATGAACAAACACCACCTGCACGTATTCTAAAAATTAAAACCACTTAAATTCTTGGTGAAACGTGTGAGGCCAGAAAAGAGCGAAGTATCAGACTCTGTTACGGAGAACAGCCAACTGTAACCTTGTAAGAGTCCGAACGTTTGTTTTTTTTCGCTGAGCCACACACGCCGACTTTCACCTCCCTTCTGATGTCATTTCTTCTGTTTCCATCATTCCCGGCTTTTTTCCTCTCAGTGTTTTGACTGTATGATTTATTTTCCATTACAATCCATGTTACAAATTCATATCCAGTTACACTGCACACTCCTTCACCGTCCTCTCGCCCTTCCTGCCTGCTTTCATCTACATTCCTCCGCTCTCCCGCTCCCAGCGAGCAGCGCCTGTGGCTTCACGTCTCCACTCCACCAACATATTCATCTCTCCAGAGAGAGCAGGGTGCCAGCATGGGCTCCGAAAACACCATCTAATGGAACCATTAAAGAACTATTAGTGCAGAGAAGTCATCTTTCACAGCGGCACACACACACGGGCCCAGCGACACACACTCCTCCTCCAACACAAATTCATAAGGAGGAACATTCCCGGCCCTGTTTCAGCCTGGAAACGGATGATGAGATAATCCATCTGAAGGAGAGATTTCACACCGCGCTGTCGCGCTCACAGGATTCAGCAGTCGCTACAGGATAAAGCAGCAGAGCATGTGAACTGCATTTAATCAGCTCTGAGATTCTGGCCCAAACCTGAACACAGTGCCATAAACTTACTGCTAGAACCCGACACAGCACCAGGACCTGGACGCACATTCGCTCCAAACTCTCTTTTACTGAATAATTTCGACACCGATAATCATAGTAGATACTAAATTCATATTAGATACTGAATAATTCACAGTAACACCTAAATAATTCATATTAGATACTAAATTTATATTAGATACCGATTAATTCATATTAGATACTGAATAATTTATAGTAGATACCGAATAATTTATAGTAGATACTGAAGAGTTCAGTAGTATCCGAGTTGACGTCAGTGTTCCAACAATTTCTTTCAACTTTTATTACTTCTTTAAATATTCAGCAAATAAGTTTTTACATCTAAACTGGAAAGTGAAAGAGCTCAATTTTCAAATCACTAGAGTTGCAGCTTTAATTGTAGCCTACAAGGTTTAAGCGGGGATTTATTTATTTATTTATTTTAATTTTGAGCTTGTAAACTATAGATGAGTGTAGATTCCTGACCATTCAGAAACCCACATGATCACCCACATGATGTTTACATGACAACACAACCAGAACTAACTGGCTGTCTGGTACACTTGAGACTAAAACCAGAAAAAGTGGACACTCTAGTCGTCTTGAAAAAAAAATAGGACTGTAATTTACACAAAACAATCACAACATCGGTTGGAAAAATCACTGCTACACATTTTCCTCAAATCACTCAGTCCTAATGTGTGTAAGCTGAAAATTATATTTCCACAACAAATTACAGTGTGTGGCACCATTTCCTCCTGAATGTGTTCATGATTAAGAATCTTGCCATTTCCAAACAGAACTTTTGGTTAAATGTTTTAATCTTTAAATTATAGATTGGATAGAGGCTAAAAAGCTAACTGTCCATTTGTTCACACGTGTTAAAATTCAGACTGAACAGAAAAAATAATAAATGCTAAAGGTAAAACACTAAACAGAACCAGTTCATGATCCATCACATGACTGGATGCTGGACAAAGGCCAAAAAAATGGTATCTGCTGTGACTGTGGAGCCGTTTGGATAAGCTTGGGTCAAAGGTAAGAGGTCATGAGTCAGACAGGCCAACAGGAGGGGACAGACGGACCGAATGTACCGGTCAGGGATCACATGTCCTGCTGGCTCTGAGCCAACTTAGGTAGGCTTAATTTGTGAGCCACCCTTATGCTGCCATATATATATATATATATATATATATATATACACACATACATACACACACACACCTCATGTGTATAATATATACAAAAGTATGTATATGTAATAACACTAACAATAATAATAATAATAATGTCCCATATATTTCGCTGCTGTCAGAACAAAACCCTGTATCTCCAAAATGGTAACTTTACAGGAGAAGGAAAAAATACACTTTAGTTTTAATGTAAGTCAATGGAACCAGACGTCTTTCCAAGTCATTTTGGGCCGTTTCTTTTGGTCCAATCATGATGAATTTTGCACGTAATGTAAAGAGCAACAGGTATTTTCAAATTATCTCAAAAACTGAAATACGTCAAAAATGGAGATACAAGGTTTTGTTCTGACAGCAGCGATATATTTAAGTTCCTTTACGTAATACAGATGTTCCAGCTACCTGTTTTTCTCTTTTTATGATGAATGTGGGTCATGTCTGTCCTGAAAACGTCCAAAAACCTCACGTTCTTACTAGTCTGTGCATCTCACTCATGCACTCCGTCCACCAGGTGGAGCTCGTGGCACTAAAGCCAGAATAAACACTCGGCTGCTTTAAAAATTTGACCCAGAATCTGTACAATGTAAAAGATGGCATTCAGGGTCAAGGAAACAGTACAAATGTGCTGTCTGCAGGATCCAGGCACACGCAGTATTAATCCCCAAACTAGCTGACCACGGCCTGCAGCAACACGACAGCATGACCGTTCTTGACCTTCAGCTTCTGACCTATTAATGATCTTTTAAAGGGATTCTCCTGCGTTTCTGAACCTAATGTGTAAATCTGCTGCATCTGGGATTTTAATGTTTCCCTGACTTTAGAAAAAGCAACAGAAACCCTGTCGACTCAAAACATGCTTATAATAGAAGCCAGTAAGCAGTTACTTCAACTGCTCAACACACAGCTTGTGTAATGTAAGCACCGACCAATAGAAAGAGCAGCTGCACAAGCGTCAGGTCACCATGCATGAACCATGAGCTAGAGGGCTCTAAGCCCTTCAGCATTGGGCTGTGAAGCAGTGGAGCCGTGTTCTCTGGAGTGATGGAGCTCCATCCAGTACCTCTGGGATGAGTTGGAGTGTCCAGAACTGACCATCCAACATCAGTACCTGACCTCACTAATGCTCCATCAAATCCTCACAGCAATGTTCCAACATCTAGTGTAAAGCCTTCCCAGAAGAGCAGAGGCTGTTACTTACACTCCTTGGACATGCCCACTTCCAGGCACTTCTGCAGGCGGCAGTACTGGCAACGGTTCCGCGTGACCTTATTGATGATGCAGCTTTTCTCCCGGTGGCATGTGTACACCATGTTCTTCTGGATGCTCCTTCTGAAGAAACCCTACAACAAAAAAAAAGAGAGAGAGGCATATTTATGTCGCGTTTTTGCGTTATAAACATTTTCACAGTCATATCAAAATCTTAAATTTTTTTTTCCGATAATTTAAAATGAAAGCCTATATATCCTTTGCATTATGTCAATATTTCGTGATGAACGGTCCAGCAGAAGTGGTTCAAAATGACATGAAACAAAGTCTGGTTATATCAGCTTCTATTAAAGTCAATAAAGATTCATCATGATCGTAAAACGCACACTAATCACGCTGTCAGCCCCACGTTCTGCTGCACTGATGACGCCCCTGAGCCGTTTAGATTTCATTACTGGATAGCATGAAATAAAAGCCTGGAAAGTCACTGATACATTGGCTCTGATCGTTGGCGCAGTGGTTGCCCAGTTTGGACTCGGCTGTGCCCTACTGGTAATCTCTCACTATGAAAGCCAGTGAGCTCCGAGGGGCTAATCCTGTAAGGGGCTTAAGCAGTATGAGCCTGGGTGGAGGGACAGAGGCGAGAGATGAACGGAGCAGCCGTAAGTTGGAGCAGCGACACTAACTCCCGTTTACTTTAATTACAGCAGGGCAGTAGAGCTGGGGTCTCAGAGACACACCGGAGACCCTTCACATCTCTCCTGTACATGTAATGTAAAGCTATAATAAAACAATGCAACACAACCCCAAATATGCAGCATAAAGCTGTACAAAAACAATGCAACACAACCCCAAATATGCAGCATAAAGCTGTACAAAAACAATGCGACACAACCCCAAATATGCAGCGTTAAAGCTGTACAAAAACAATGCGACACAACCCCAAATATGCAGCATAAAGCTGTACAAAAACAATGCGACACAACCCCAAATATGCAGCATAAAGCTGTACAAAAACAATGCGACACAACCCCAAATATGCAGCATAAAGCTGTACAAAAACAATGCGACACAACCCCAAATATGCAGCATAAAGCTGTACAAAAACAATGCGACACAACCCCAAATATGCAGCATAAAGCTGTACAAAAACAATGCGACACAACCCCAAATATGCAGCGTTAAAGCTGTAACAAAAACAATGCGACACAACCCCACTGCAGATTTTCATTTTCAAATGCAGTGAATATCACCTCAAATATTCAAGCATTTCATATGTATAAAAATAATACAATTTATTTAACAGTTTATTCAATGGGGATTAATGCATAATGTACAAAAAGTCATCCATTTTTAAAATAGCTTAACCAAAACTAAAATATAACAGAAAACAGAGCATATAAAGTTGTCTTTCGTGGAAGAAACCTGAAGCTGACCATTTCACAATGTACTGTGTTCAAAGGTTTAAGCAGCTGATGCCAAGGCAACATGTACCCTGTCAAATGTTATCGCCTCCGCTGCCGTAAAATCATCTCACCATCACAGGCAGCGCAAACTGTTCCTCTAAACTGTTCCTGCTTTAAACCACACATTTAGCTCTGAATTTAGATCTGAATGACATGATCTGAAAACGCAGAGCGCGTGGGTCGTTTATAAAGGCCGCTCTGGCAGGCAGAAATGCTGAGGTGCCCAAAAAGGCCCTAATTTCAGACCAAGACGTGGAGCACAGATATTTAAGCTAGTTAACCTAAAGGTACAATGAAACTGGGTTCATTAAGTCACATAAACAGCAACCGTTAGAGATTCTGATTCACGTGTCTTCAGCTTTTTTGAAACATCATCAATTTTAATCGGTGTTTGTTGACACAACAACAAAAAGAGCCACGCAGGAGGGCAACAAACGTACACCAGCACAGAGCACTGTTAGACCAAGACGCAGTAACGCTACACCCGCACCCCGACCTCAAAACAGCAGAACTAACGTGATAAAGATGGTGAAAGGTGGCTTTTGTCACAGAGCAGATGAGCAAATCTGAGATCCGCCGTCATCTGAACTCAGCAGTTTGCGTATGAAAGGTTACAGTAAGTCGGCGCAGGGTAAACGAGTGCGGTGTCCTCTTTGAAGACGTCATGCAGGAGATCTGACCAGTTTGTCAACTCCTGCTACTGCATATGAACCCGTGGGGGTTACGCTAATTGGTTTGGCTAATGTGCCTTTGGCTTACTCATGTGAACTGATTAACCCTTCAGAGCAGAGATCACACACATGAGCCTGCTTAGACACACTATACAGGTCAGACGAACCAACCAATGACAACGGAAACACTACGGTCAGGCAGGCTGGACTGCGGTCACCTGCGTTTAGACTATTTCTAAATGTATGACTCTCATATATCCTGCTTTGTCTATCAGGCCTAACCAACACATTGCTTGTTAACTGTTATCGTAATATTGGACTCTGCAACACTGATATCACAGAAAGCCACAATATGCAAATGAGCCCTAAAACCAATCACAGTGTGTTTACTGTGCCCTGTGATCATCCTGACCAATCACAGTTTCAGATGAGTTGCTGTGGGTGCATTAATGAAATCAGAGTATTTCTGTAGTCAGTTTTTTTTTTACAAAATATTACAGACTGTTCTTTAAAACATTTGATACTTTTTAAAAAATAAAAACACTCTTCAAAATAACTTACAGCCACATCGCCGTGTCTCTGATATACAGGCTCAGCAACATCAACGCTACTTTAATAAAGGTAGCATTAATTTGTTATTTAATGTAGGCAATGTTAGTTTAAACACAAGTAACATTAGTTTAATGTGGGTAACCCCAGTTTAACTTGGCCAATGTTACATTAAGGCAAGTTAATTTAATTTAACGTAGGTACCGTTACTTAAACGCAGGTCACATTAAGGTAGGTACCGTTAGTGTAACCTGAGTAAAGTCAGTTTAATGTAGATAACGTTAGTTTAATATCAGTAACATTAACAAGTATCATTGATTTAACCAGGTATCGGTAGTTTAACGCAGTAATCCGTAGTTTATTACAGGTATCATTGATTTAACCAGGTATCGTTAGTTTAACACAATTATTGGTAGTTTAATGCAGGTATCATTGATTTAACCAGGTATCATTAGTTTAACACAGTTATTGGTAGTTTAATGCAGGTATCATTGATTTAACCAGGTATCGTTAATTTAACGCAGTTATTGGTAGTTTAATGCAGGTATCATTGATTTAACCAGGTATCAGTAGTTTAACACAGTTATTGGTAGTTTAATGCAGGTATCATTGATTTAACCAGGTATCGTTAGTTTAACACAGTTATTGGTAGTTTAATGCAGGTATCATTGATTTAACCAGGTATCGTTAGTTTAACGCAGTTATTGGTAGTTTAATGCAGGTATCATTGATTTAACCAGGTATCGTTAATTTAACGCAGTTATTGGTAGTTTAATGCGGGTATCATTGATTTAACCAGGTATCGTTAATTGAATGCAGTTATTGGTAGTTTATTACAGGTATCGTTAATTGAATGCAGTTATTGGTAGTTTATGCAGGTATCGATAGTTTAACGCAGTTATCAGTAGTTTTAATGCAGGTATCCTCAATTTTACCAGGTATCTTTAGTTTAACGCAGGTATCGTTAGTTTAATGTAGCACCAGTTTATGCAGGCATCGTTGGTTTAACGCAGGCATCGGTAGTTTACCGCATGAAATCATTAATTTAACACAGGTATTGTTAATTTAACACAGGTAACAGTTTGACGCAGGTATAGTTAGTTTAACGCAGGAAACGTGACCCGTTAGTTTTATGTAGGTGACATTAGTTTAACGCAAAGCACCGTTAGTTCAACAAGTAATGTTAGTAAAACATACGCAACGTTGGTTTTACACACAGCTGTGCTGCTACAGTGACCCTACAATTTTTCAATGCGTGACGTATGAACTAAAAAACACAAGCAGTGTGTTTTGAACACATAGTGAAGTGTATCAGAATTGTTAGATGTAGCAATATTTTCACAATATCTGTCCATATTGTGCAGCTTTACTGTCTCTGACTGTATTTCTGACCTTCATGAAGGGCCAAAGCAGCCCCACATTAAGAATCACATTCAGGCAGCAAACAACATCCAGGCTTTTACAGTAATGCCCTCCACAGCTCGGCCGCTCAGCCGTCATCCCTCCTGCGAGAGGGCGAGTGAGATAAAGGACGACACTCTCACACATCGTGGCCACGATGAAAAAGTAATGCGGGAGAAAGTGAGACTGTGAGAGTCTCTCTGATGCAGCGTCCACTCTCTCACGTCCATCACACCGTCCCCCGTTCAGTGGGCATGTTTTATGGATGCTGGCCTGGTCCTCTGTAGGGCAGCGCTGGACGTCAGAGGAGCGGTCTGAGGAACATGTGCTCATCCTGAACCCAATAAACAGTGAAAGGACAGATTTCTTACACACTCTCAGAGTGACAGTCGGGTGAATAACCAAATTTCTCCTCTTAAATAAAATGCAGGCAATGTTTGGTGCCTGAAGTTTTGCACTGGAGCTCTGAGGCTAATTTAGCTAAAACGGATTGTTATGTGATGAGCAATTAACATTAAACGGCACAACTAAATCATCATGCGCTCACCTAAAACTATTATCCAGCCACAGTTTAGTCCCTTATTTATGATGTTATGCAGTAGCGCACCATCGTATCTCTTAGAGCATCAGTTCGACAGAATTTACGCTTTTATATTGTTTTACATTTCCATTCATCAGTGTTCTCTCACCACAGTACCCAGCATGCATTACGCAAATACATCAGACAGCCACCGGGAATTCCTGTGGTGTCAACCATCCTGACCGCTAGCCTAGCTACTGATTTATAAGCTAATAAACACAACCACGCTAGCATTAGAGTAACTGCTGCCTCGGTCGTCAAACAAAACCCATGAAAAAAAACGATTTCTCTCTTTATTCAGGCAAAACTGGACACCAGAGATGAGTGTTTATCCTTTCAGCCAGAAAATAAATAAATAAATAAAACAATAAATCAGCCAAACTAGCCTTGTTTGCATGTAGCCTAACAATCCGTTAATAATCCGACTAATAGCTCAATCGGAATAGATGTCGTCCATGTAAACACCT